TTTTTAAACAAATCAATCCACAGATAAAAGGAAGTATCCCCTAAACATGGTATATGTTCAATAAAGTTCAATATGTTTCAAAGCATTTTTAAAAGTGTTTCCTTTAATAAAGCCTTGAAAAATGAATATGGCCATGGGTAACATTGTACCCAGCACAGACTAAGAGCTCAAAAAGTATTAGCAAATATTACTATTATCACACTCCCTCACAAATATTTACTGAGCTGTGAGTTAGATAAGGAATCCTCTGCAATGCTCATGAGTTCTAACAAATATCCACACAGAGATGCACCAGCCATTCTGGCCAAATAGAAGGAGATGTGCTAATGGGCAAGGAGGAGTCGCCTCTCAAGAGAGGCTCCAAGGCTGCAGCCATAAATCAAAAGGAAGCCAGAGGCAGAGAACAGTGAGTCAAAGGCAGGAGTTACAAAGTATAACTTAAAGAATGTGAACTTGGGGCAGAACAGAGGATGGAGTCCCAGACCCCCTTCACAACTCTGGGTAAGGAATATTGATCAAACCCAAACAGCAGTCATGGAGTTCAGCTAGTGTTGCACCCGGAAATTTGGGTGTTGCATTTCGTACCCTGGAGACAAGCGTCCTTCCCTTCCAGAGCAGTGGGAAAAGCGTGCTGCCGAGTCCGTCTGCATAGGAGTCACCTCATTTTCATGAAACACTGCTAGAGCAAATGGGAACAGGAATAGCTAAGCAATAGGAAGACTTTTAAGAGGCAAAGCTGTGAGAATTGTTATCACACAGGCTGGGAGGTCTCTGCGATTGGTTTGTCATGCCGTAGAGAAACCGGTTGGCAATATACCCACTGGACCAGCAGGGTAGGCATAGAGACAACCCTCTGCTGAAGGACAGATCCAAGAGGCAGGCAGTGAGCAGAGGAAAAGCAGCCATAGAGTAGGGTCAGTGTTGTGGTTTAAATGCGAAATGTCCCCTATAGTCTGATGCATTCCAACGCTTGCTCCCTAGCAGGAGGCATTGTTTCCCAAAGGCTGTGGAGCCTTTAGGATATAGAACCTCACTGGAAGAAGAGGGTCACTAGGGGCTGGGCTGACCTTCACAACCTAGCCCCACTTCCTGTCCGCTCTCTGCTTCCTGCCAGTGGACACTGCTCTCAGCTACTTCACATTCCTGCAGCCAACCCACCCCACCTGGTGGGCTGTACCCACTCAAAAGACAAGTCACACTGTCCCGCCCTTCTTCCTCTAACTTGTTTGTTTGTTTGTTTGTTTGTTTGTTTGTTTGTTTGTGGGAAGTGTTAGGTAGTTGGTCATCACAACAATAAAAATAGCAACACAGTCAGAAAGGAAGTTAGCCTGAGTGAGTCATATGAGAAACAAAGCAAGGTGGGGAGCAGGCTCCAGCCCACAGGTGTGTTAAGGGATCCCAGAAGCACCATGCTGAGTCACATTCCCCCCATCACTCGCTTGGGTCAGTCTCTTTACTTTCTGTTATGATTGACAGTGGTAACAGAGGCACCATGCTGAGTCACATTTCCCCCCATCAACTCATTTGGGTCAGTCTCTTAACCTTCTGTTATGATTGACAGTGCTAACAGCTCACACTTTCTAAGAGACAAGTCATGCTTCAGACACAGGGCTTGCCTCTGACACTCAAACAACCAACACAGCAAACAAGTCATTTTAAAAATAACGTTACCTTGATGCAGAGGACCTAAACGGCAGGTCTAACATTATGCAACTAATGAAAAGAATTAGAATAAAACCCTTGCCTCTTACTCCTGCAATGAAGCTCATACTGTTCCTTAAGGAGGGCAAGTGGAACAAGCCACGCCTTGATCTCTTAAGAGAAGGTAACACTTTATGTTTGTATCAGTCATTCACATTTTAGTATGATAGATTTCCAAGCCAGTCTTGGGAGTAAAAGAGCACGTGGGTGTCTAGAAATGTACAAGAAGGGCTCCACCAAGGGGTGGGACACAAGCGCTACTGTGAACATGGAAAACAGTTTCCCTCTCACACAATTCCCGCTTCTTTGGGACTCACCAGGTTCACCACAAGACATTGCAGAAATTCAGTAAATGCTATTAAGTCCTCACACTCCTCTAGCTGTGCTGAGTACCTGAGCACTGACGTTCCCATCCCAGGATGGAGAGGAGGCAGTAAATATGGATGCAAACAAGAATGTGAAATAGTGAGGTGGGCACGATGGCTAAGTGGGTAGAGGCACATGCCACAAAGCCTATCAATCCCCGGGTCTGAGCTGGTGGAAGGAGAGAACTGACTCCTTCCAGAGTCCACATGCGTCCAGTTTCGACGGGCGGTGGTGGCGCACACCTTTAATCCCAGCACTTGGGAGGCAGAGCCAGGTGGATCTCTGTGAATTCGAGGCCAGCCTGGTCTACAAAGTGAGTTCCAGGAAAGGCGCAAAGCTACACAGAGAAACCCTGTCTCGGAAAAAAAAAAAAAAAAAAAGAGTCCACATGCATGCCCCGGCACATGTGTGCCCACACACATACATACACATACATACACATACAAAAAAAAAAATACTTACTTAGTTATTCATTTAGTTAATATAATCAAAATAGTTTTTAAAAGAACATGAATAGTGGCCATGTTATAAAGACAGAGATGTGTCAGAGTGGGGTAGCAGGCTTTTAAAGTGACAAAGCAAGCTAGGGAGATGGTACAGTTGGATAAGGTGCCTGCTGCACAAGCAAAGACCTGAATTTGGACCCTGAGCATCTAGGTAAAATGCTGAATGTCCTACAGGTTTGTAATCTCAGTACAGGGAGGAAGAGGATCCCAGCGCTTGCTGGCCAGGCAGTTTAGCTGAATTAATGCGCTTCAGATTCAGTGAGAGACTCTGCCTCAAAAATACAGGGGACGGTAACAAAGGAATACACTCAGTGTCAGGCTCCCATTTCCACTTGGATAAGCACATATGTATGCATATATGAACACATATTCACACCCTACACAAAGGAAGAAAGAGAAATGGTGGGAGAGGGAGAAAGGAGGAAGCAAGGAGCAGTTGCTACTTTGGGTTTGGAGCTCAAGGAACGTCTCCTGAAAACATGATTGTTGGGTAAGCCTTGAACAAAGAGAAGGTGCTATGTTCACCTAGATCCAATTGGTTGAAGAACAACATCAAGACCTAGGTGATGTTGAAAGAACAGTGACACTGGCTACTCACTCTTAGGAAGTTAGACATATTCTGTCATTCCACAATCAGAAAATGCTCTAATGACCTCTATTGTACAGGTAAGGAAGTCAGGGCACCAAGGTTAAGTGATATTTTTTTTTTCCTAAGAGCAGATGAAGACCAAAGGGAAATGTCTTATTAGTAGTTGGATCCCCAAGTACACATGCAGCTTCCCTGAGGTCCCTGGGGTAATACAACCAAAAAGCCTAGAGATGAATTTGAGGTCACCAGGGCCATTTTCCAGATTATGTTCAGGACCCTGACTCCCATAGCTGGGGTCCATACCAAGAATGAAACTGAATGGCAAGACCAGAATGATGATGTTTAGCACCCAACTTCCCCTAGGTTGCCCACTCAGAAAGCATTGGCATTGCATGGGAGGGGTGCATGGGAGGCCAGCAGCATACCTGCCCCTATTCATATCATCTTGGTTGTATGACAGAGTTATGAAAAAGGAACCCACACTCATGAGGTATATATATTAGGTCTACTTTGGTTTCATCATCCCATGAGCATGATGCAATGGTCTTAACCCAAACTCGGGCACCGTGAACTTCAAACCATCAGAAAATCAAATGGTTCAAATCCAAAGACTCAAGCACAAGCTCTCACTACCATAAACAGAAAGGGCTGTAGGGGCTGCGGAGATGCCCTGTTTGTTAAAGTGCTGGGGAGACAGACATGTGAAGCTCTGGGGCTTGCTACTCGGCCAGCCTGGTCGACTTGGTGAGCTCCAAGGCAGTAAAAGACCCTGTCTCAAAAAAACAAGGTTCCTCGGAAGCACTTGAGAACCAATAGACAGCCAAAGTTGTTCTCTGGCCTCTGCATATACATGTGTATGCACCCAATATACACACAAATGCACATACACACACATGAGGGAGCTCTTTGCTCTCTCCTCACAGGCTTTATCTCAGCTGAGGGTATCATCAGCAAGCCAGAGTCTAGCTCCCCTGTTCCCCTTTACCCTCTGTCCCTCCTTGTTTTCATTAAGAGAGCACATGTCACATTATAGCATTACAAGAGTTGAGCAGATACTGGGGAGTGGGAAGGAATAAAAAAAAGAAGAGGGAAGGAAAGGTGGAGCCTTCTGAGGTGAAAGGAAAGAAGGACATTACAAAGTCTCTTCCCAAAGAGCTCATAACAGATGGGGCAAATATGCCCAAAACATATGACAACAACCCAACATGGCATAGTACAGAAAAGATCCAACCAAAATGTAGAGAAATCTCAGAGGCAGCAACAGCCTTTACTGAGAGAGCAAAAACACACTTGGCACCCAGTTGTGAATGGGCAGTGGGAGTTCATCAGGTTGGGAGGGGGGACAGCATTTGGGCAGAGAAATTGGTGTATGTAAAAGGCCAGTCAGTGAAAAATCCATTCTATGGGGATCCAGATCCCTTCAGAATAGGAGATGTGATAAGACCTTATGTTGCCCCCAAAGTTGGAATTCTAGAGCTGCAAGTGGAGCCCATACCCAACTGTTCCCTTCCACACACATCTGCCACATCTGCCCTATAACACGTTTTGGCTTTATGCCTGACTCTGGTCACCCCTACCACCATTGTCATGAAATGTCATTAATCCACAGCCTTTTAGCTGAGCCTTTACTGTTTCAGTCTGGTCTCCCTGTCTCTGAGTTCTCCATTCCAATTCATCCATTCCCAATGACTCTTCGTTTTTTAAGGCATTTTCAAAAGGTCTTCCTTAACTCATCGTAAAGCAAGGATACTTTCTCCAGCTAAATCTCAGAAGGAGCACCAAAAGGCAAGCAAGAAGTGAGATTGACCTGCAAGGACCATAAAACTGAGGACCAGATCTGTGCAAATGATAGACACATTTTATCCATTTCTCACATCTACTTACTCAACAGTATCATGGGCCACTTCACTCTGAGCTAGTCTTCACACTGGGTGCAGGGCAGCAGATGGCATACAAATGACACCAGCGTGTTGTCTCCATAAAGACAACTAAATGTTCATCAAATATTTATGCAAATAAACATGAAGTCCCAATCTGTAATAAGCACAATGAAGAAAATGTGAAGGGAGCTCTGTGTAGTTGCAATGGTCTTGAAAGCAATCAGGGAAGATGTCCAAGGACAGAACATTTGCACGAGATGAGGAACATTATAACCAGATCCTAATCAGCAAAGGAGTGCTGTCCTATTTCATCTGGAGTGGGAGAAGCTTTCTAATGACAATGGGAACTGGCAGAAGTCCTCAAGTTGGTTGTCACTATTTGTAAAAGTTGACACAAAGGGCTGGGTGTTAGCTCTGTCAGTAAACTGCCTGCATTGAAAGCACAAAGGCCTGGAATTGACCTCCAGAACCCACATATACAAAGCCTGGCATGGCAATGCATACTTGTATTCCCACTGCTGGAGATGTGGAAAGAGATGGATCCCTGGATTTGCTGGCATATTTGGTGAGTTCCAGGCCAGTGAGAGGTCCGGGATCAAAAACAATGAAGGTCCTTGAGGAACACCTGAGGATGTCCTCTGGCTTCCATATGCACACATACATGTATATGCACATGAACACACATACACATACATCACACACACACACACACACACACACACACACACACACACACACACACACACACACATACTCACATACATATGAACATACAGACAAGCACGTGATGAACATTTGTATTTTTACCCCAACTCTTAAGTGTTCAAAAATGTGTATAAGTTCACAAATAATGCCTTTCAAGATGCCAGCCTCTGAATTTGAAAACAAAGAATGGAGCAAATGCCACCTGGTTTCTGTGTACTCAGGCTGAACATGGCTTCCCTGGGCACCTGGCTGGCCCCCCTGTGCTCCATGTCAGATGAGATGATCCAGCTGAGGCTCCCAGGTTGCTGCTTTGGAGCCTAGAAAACAGGCTTTCATTGGCTGTGTATTTCAGCGTCCTTGGCTCCTGCAGGAGTTTAGCTTAGCATTGAAGTCTGGGCCAGAGGCTGAGCAGGGATGCTGGAAGCACATTTTGGCCGTGACAGACAAATTAGTCTGTGTGCTTTTCTGTAGACAGTGGTTAAAAGTGAGTCCCCGGGGACTGATGCAGATTTTGTCTAAGACCCAAGCAATTCATTTATCCTTTCTCTGCTTCCAGTTTGCCATCTGGGAAACTGGAATAATAATGGTGTTTCTCATTTACCTTATCTGAGCTCTTGCTGTGACGGTGCTAGATAATAAACAACTTCCAAATCTCCATGGCTTGCCTCAACAAGCGTTTATTCCTCGCAGGTGCATGGGCTGCTTGTGTTCCAGGCTACGGGCTGAGTTCAGGCTTTTCCACGTGTTTCTCAGTTTGAAAGGAAATGGAGAAGTCCTCCGGAGTATGCCTTTCCCATGGCCAGTGTCAGTTTGAACATGAAATGTTTCTCGTAGGCCTGTGTGTTTGAATATTTTGTCCCCCCAACTGGTGGCACTGTTTGGGGAGAGCATATAACCTTTAGGAGGATGGGTGTAGCTGGAGGAAATGGGTCACTGCTGGGGGATGCAGTCCTGAGAGGCTACAGCAAGGCGACACTTTCAATCCAAGGTCTTTCTGCTTCCTGGTCCCCCAAGATATGAGAGGTCCTAGCTTCAAGCTCTTACTACCTAGAACAATTGTGTCTTCTCCATCATGGTGAACTGTGCCCTTTCAAACTGTAAGCCAAAACAACTCTTTCCTCTCTTAAGTTGCGTGTGCCAGGCATTTTGTTGTACTAGTGCAGCCAGTCACAGGAGTGCAAGAGGACCACCCAAGTAACCTGAGTACACGGAAAGCTTCTGATTGAGGGTAGGAGTGGGTGGAGAGAGGGCTCAACAGTTAAGAACACCTGCTTCTATTACAGAGGACCCATGTTTGGTTCTCAGCATCCACATAGCAGCCTATAACCATCTTTTAATCTATTCCCATGGGATCCAACATTCTCTTCTGACTGGACATATGTGGTATACCTACAAACACAGGATAAAAATAAATATTTTTTAAAATAATTTTGACTAGACATAGGGCATGTTATATCTACTCACATCTCAGTAGCCATAATAAATCTCATATCCAAGTTCAAAGTTCAGTAGTCCTACCCACATGGTAACCGTGGAAGCAGCAAGAAAGTGTAGTGCTATTGATTTATAAAAGGAATAGGGAGTAGGTAGGTAACCTTATTTATTCATTTTTCTTGCCTCTTGTTGATCATTAAAAACTATGCCTGCTAATTTTTGATGCTTGACAAGGATGTTCTGTGTCCCTTCCCCCTGAATCTGAGTCAACCTTCTTGACTTAATTGTGACAAGTAGAAGGCTATAGAATCAATGTGGGACTTCTAAGACAAGATCAGGAAAGGTCATATAACTTCTACTCAGGTCTGTTAGAAGGTTTACTTGGGGAGATGCCAGGTACCATGTAACAACTCTGACTATGCTACCCTAGGACTTGCCCTTCTTTGGAGGTCACAGGTATACACTGTGATTGATGGCCTAGCAGTGACTAGCATTAAGTGCCAACCATGCTCAGTGGGGCCTAATGGTGGCCAAAACCCAGCTGTCACCTGCCTATCATCACTGCAGAGTCCAAGTGAGAACAACCCATTTGAGCTTTGCCCAGATTCCTGACCAAGGTTGCTCTTGGCCCCAAAGTATCTCATCTAATCTCAGTAAGCATATGAGGCCACATTGATGTCATCGTTTTTATACTCTGAAATTCTCATGTCCACCCATCAAATGTCAGTATTAGAACATGTCACCAAGGGAGTGTGTATCTAGAGGAGCAATCAAATATCCCCTCTCTCTCCCTACCTTCCTCATTCTTCCCCTGTTTAACAGCCAATGTCATGAGAAAGTCCATGCAATTTGTTCATGCCTCTGTCACAGCCCCCATCCCCCCATCTGTCAGCCTGCTCCCACTGTCACATCACTCACATCACTGACAGCTCTTTGAAGACAGACCATGTCTAACTTCTGGACCTATGCTCAGGACAAAGCCTGGCACAGAAGAACAGGGATACTTTCCATTATTGCTTCATGTCCACTCGGCAACACTTCTCTGCATGTATGGATCACCCATGGCTCTTTTGACCTCTGCTTCTGGCTGGTTTCATCAAGGAGACATCCCAGCATGGGACTAGAGAAAAGAGGAAGAGCACAGTCTGAGTATTCATCACCACAGCTTCTTCTTTGCAAGACTGACGGATCTGACTAGTTCTCCAACTGAGAGCCCAGCTCTTCACCTATACCTGCCTCCCCTCCATGATGCTCAGCATCCAGACTCCTTATCTAGCACCTCTTACTGTCTCCCCTTCCCTTGGGCCTTTTGGCTTGCTTACACTTTACTAATGACTTCATAACAGCCCTTGCATCCATTCCTTCCTGAATTAACCTAATTGGCATGTGCAGTCAGCATCAGCATCCCACTACCCTTGAATGACACAGAGAAATCAGAGACCAGCAGCCAGATACATGTTTTCAGGCTATAAGGCCTTGGATCACAGGCTTACTTAGGCACACAGGAGGATGGACCAAACAATAATGGAGGCAGTGGTGGGTATAGCAAGCTCTGTCAGTGAGCCATTAAACTGCTGAATTGTCTCTACTCAGAAGCTGTCAAGCTTCCATCCAAGGTTTCATTAGGGGAAGAGCCATCTACTCCTTGACATTCCTGTGACAGAAAGCATTTCAATTAGAGCCACAAGAGTCCTTGAGGACCTGACACACCTCACAGCAATAGTCTCACAGTTCCCTGAGGATGATCAGGTCAGCCTTCTCTCAAGCCTTTCTCTTTCCCACTCCAGCAGCCCTCTCCGGGCCCCCACAGTCCTCTGGCCCACAGGTAAATCAATGCTTCAGCTGCCCACCCAAGGATCTCCTAAAGCTTACTCAAAAGGAATGAGATCAGCATTGGGGCAGAACTCTTCAGACCCCTGCTTAGATCCCTTTGGTGACTCCCATTTACCTAAGTTCCAGATGCTGCCTGAGCCCTATATGAACCCCTTCTACCCCCAGACTGAGTCAGGGTCTCCTGTTGTCCTCTCCCACTACACCATGCCCTCTCCATCCTAGCTCTTGTCACACTTGTCACTTGTCAGCTCCTTATACGACTGACATGTTATTTTTTTTTTTCCTGGGGAGACAGGAACAAAGTTCTATTCACCTGATAGGGGACTGTCTTGGTTAGGGTTTCTATTGCTGTGAAGAGACACTGTGACCACAACAAGGAAAACATTTAATTGGAGTGTTCTATGGTTTCAGAGGTTGGTCCATTATCATGGTGGGACATGGAGGCACGGTGCTGGAGAGGAGCTGAGAGTTCTACATCTTGATCTGCAGGCAGCAGGAAGTGAACTGTCTGCCACACTGAGTGTAACTTGATCATAGGAGACCTTAAAGTGACACAGTGACACACTTCCACCAAAACGGACATACCTACTCCAATGAAGCCACACCTCCAAAAAGTGCCACTCCCTATGAGCTTATGGGGGCCAATTACATTCAAACTACCACAGGGACCAAGGACAGACCAAAGTACAGATTCTCCTGAAGTCCAACTGGGCAAACCAATGAATGTATGATGTTTGCTTACAGAGCACAGGTAAGAGGTTACTCCCAGGAGTATAGGTAACCCCCAAACAGCTGCAGTACTGTAAAACCCCACTCCATCATAGATGATGACCTCATGAGAGCTACATCATGGAGTCTTTTCAGTCAAACTTCTACTTCCTGCGTCCTCTAGTGTCTCCCAAGATCACGTGTAGATGGAGAAGGGCAGACAGTAGGAAGGGTCAACAGTCCTACCATATGCCTAACTACCTCTTCATTGTTCTGCTCCCCATTAATCTCTACTTCAAAATAATGACCACATTATCCCTGGAGGAAAGAAAATCCACAAGGGTCACCTACATTCTCTTCTCCAACCAGGTCACTCCCTCAGCTCCAACTCTTCTGTGACTTCCCTTGTCCCTTGGCTAGAGCCAGTCCTCCCAGTGGCCCAGGAGGCCTCCATGACCTTCCAGTCTTTCCTTTTCTCTTGTTCTAAGCCACTCTAGCATTCCTTCAGTGCCTAGGACAACACCAGCAAGTCCCTACTTCAGGGCCTTTGCATACACTTGTTCCTTTGCCTAGAATGCTTCTGCTTGTGAAGTCTCCTCCCCTCCAGCAAACCTCTATCCCAACACAGCATTTATTATACCTCGGGTTAACAACAGTTTAGAAGATTCGCCATGCACAGAACACAAGCAAAGACCCAAGAAATACAACCATTACCCCTCTTTCATTTCCAAAAGTCAATGCACAGCTCCATACCAGAAAATTGTGGGCTGAAGGTATGACTCTCAGGGATGGCTTTCCAGTGCTGTTTCCCCAGCTGACATTGTTGTTTGATTCTCTTCCAGGCCATGTTACACTCTTCTGCAAGAAGAAAATTCAAGACCACAACATTCCCATCTATGAACCTCCCATTTATGGTTGATAACATCACACAAACCATATTTTCTGTTTGATTCTTTCTTTGACTAATTGATTAAGGCAAAATACATGTATAACATAAAATTAGTTGCTTTAAAGTAAACAATTTGATGGCACTAAGTGCATTCCAGTGTTGTGCAATCACTACTTTTATCTAATTCTAAAACATTTCCATAACTCCAAAATGAAATCTCACACTCATTAGACAGGCATTCACCACTCCACCTCGTGACTTCCCATCCCTAGAAACTATCAATTTGATTTCTATTACTATAGATTTGTCAAGTCTGTATATTTTATATAAATGAAATCACGTGTCAGTTTTTTATCTGTCTCTTTTTATTTAGCATGATTTTTGGAGCTCCATCTACATTGTAACTTGTATCTGTGTTCCACCTTTTTTTATGGATGAATAACAGAGCATTGTATGCATATACCACAATACGTTTATCTACTAATCAGTTGATGGACATTTAGGTCAATTCTGTCTTTGGTGATTATAACTACTGCTGCTACGAATATGTGTATGTGGCTTTGTCTAACGTCTATTTTCAATTCTTTGAGGTATACAGCTGGGACTGAAGTCACAAGGTTGGCTGGTTACTCTGTGTTTACATTTTTTAGGAACTTTCAAACTTTACCACACCACAGCTGAAGGATCATACATCTACCACCAGAGCACACAACTTCTAATAGGTCCACAGCTACCACCAGAGAACAGCATCCAACAGGTCCCTAGCCATCATACTTTCACCTTCATTTTTATCATTATTTCAAGTTATGATCATCCCAATAATTAGGAAGTAGAATTCCATAGTAATTTGCTTCACTCTGCCCTGATAACACATGTTATTGCACCCTGTTTCTTGTGATTGTAGGCCATTCACTAAAACCTCAGTACTAAATCCACTATCATTCCATACAAGTAAATATGGCTCAGACATAGAAAGAAATGAAAAGTAGATTCATCTACCATGCAAAGAACCTCCAAAATATTATGTTAAGGAAACAGAGCTAGAAGATTTAACCCTTTGTTATTGTCTGAGAATTTGTGGGTTTAGGTCTTGCATTAAGTTGTTGATCCTTTTTTTTTATATTATCTTTCTTTTTAATTTCATTGAAAACAGATTTTTTTCTCTCATACAATAAATATATGCTGCCCCAATTATCCCCCTCTCCACTACCTCCAGTTCCTTTACCTTCCCTTTCCCCCAGATCCAGTATCCCTCCATTTCCTCTTCAGAAAAGAGCAGGCCTCCAAGAGACGACAACCAAACAGGACAAAACAAGATACAGTAAGACAAGGCAAAAGCCTTCATTTCAATGCCAGACAAGGCAACCCAACATGAGGGAAAGCTTCCCAAAAGCAGGCAAGAGTCAGAGACACACCTGTTCCTATTTTCAGCAGTCTCACAAAAATACCAAGCTAACAGCCATAGCATATATGCAAGAAGACCTGATGCAGACCCATGCAGGCCCCAAGCTTGCCACTTCGGTCTCTGGGACCCATGTGAGCCTTTCTTAGTTTATTCAATGGGCCATGTTCTCTTGGTGTCCTCCATCTCCAAATCACAGAGCAGCCCAAGAGGTACAAGGTAGTAATAGGCAGCAGCCTGTAGAAGATAACTGCATTCTGAGCCAAGGGAGGGGTCCCCCATAAACAGAGCCTAAGTTACCAGACATAAATGGGAAGCTAGTAAGCCACAAGGTCAAAATAAACAAGACTCCTATAACAGGCTTTTATTTGGACCACCAACCAACTCCCAAATCATGGCGTGGAGACATTATTAGTTATGAATGCTTGGACTTATCTTAGGCTTGTCCCACTAGCTCTTATAACTTAAATTAACCTGTTTCTCCTCATCTACATTTTACTTCAGGGCTTTTTACCTTTCTTTCATTCTGTATGTCCTACTTTCACTGCTTGCTCTATGACTGCCTGTCTGGCGGCTGGCTGGCTGGCCCTGGGTGTCTCCCTCTCTGTCTCCCTCTTTCTCTCCTCTCTTCTTCCACACCACTCCAACTAAAAAAACCCATGCTACACCCCTCCCTGCTACTTCCTGTCAACTAGTTGCTAACCCCACCTCTCTGAGCCCAGGTTAATTTTATTTAATTAACACAAATGCAGCACATCTTTACGTAGTTAAACAAATGTAGCATAAACAAATATAAGACATCTTTGCCTAGTTAAACAAATATTCCACAATATTTCCCTCTTTTTGTCCAAATAAAAAGAAAAGTGTTAACTTTAACATAGTAAAACTATATACAATAAGAACAGTTATGCAATAAGAAGTACATTTACAATATCCAGTCCCTTTGCATTTGGCAAATTTGAAGAAATCACTCTATTATCTCTCCTATCTTGATGAGTCCAAAGCTCTGTACCTAATTTACCTCTATCATAACTAAGGAACACTGTAACCACAACTATCTAGTCTTCAACTCCATCAAAGGATATAATGTTACCTGAGTAAACAGGAAGTGCCGAGCAAGCCACTTCCAAAACTATAGGAATGACAGAGACATCCGATCTCCTGGACAGTCAAGATTCCTCTGCAATGTTGGGGCACCCATTTTCAGCCTACAGGCCTAAAATATCTAGCAGGCTTCTCTATGAAGCAGAAATTTTGAAAGACTGTCCTATCTTGTCTTGGTAAAGTTCATCAGTCCTTTTCCTTCATCTCTTGCTTGTCCAGTTTGGACATCATACTGTCAGCAGTCAAGGCAAGGACAGTTTCTTGCCCAAATGGCTAGCTTTGCCACATTGAAAGCAAACTCCATATGGAGGTTTTCAATGCCCATCATTCTTTTATGAAGTAGATGGTGCTGCCAGGAGCAGACAAGTCTTATTGTCATGAAAAGCCCTATGTTAACCAAACATTTTAAATGCCATATTCTGTAGGTCTTTGAAGTGTTTGAAGATCATCTATTCAAAATATATCTCTGTATAATCTTGAAAATATACCTAATATAACTATAAGTTTGATTGTTATAGATTACTAACTCCTAACCTACATCTCTTATCCTAAATGGTTTATAACAAAAGCTTTCAAGGACTAGAATTTTACCTTACATTTTTAAATGAACTGCATAGGTACAATACCTTAAACATGAGTAGAAACATATACAGCATAACAAAAAAAACCTTAAATGTGCATCAATATACAAAAAAAACCCCTTAAACAAGAGTAGAAACATATATACAGTATGTTGTAACAAAAATAACCTTAAATCTGCATCAATATACAAAAATCCATGCCAATGTAAAATATTCGAGACTAATAGTTGCTTTTAAAAGTAGATTCAATAATCTATTCTTTTATCCTATCATCCCTATATTCTCTTATTTCTTTTCAGAAAAAGATCCTTGAATCTAACCTACCTTGCTTAGTTTCTTGCCTTACAATGAACAATAACAATTTGCAATCAACCCTCCTAAATGATGACAAATATCCATAACCCACCAAATGACCAAAAACCATCCACCCCACTCTTGGGAACATGGGCATCATGTTTTCTAGACTACTTCCTGTTGTCTAAGAGTGAAGGCATCTCCAGAGTACCATGAGAAAATTGAGATAAGGTCAAGTCATGGGAAGACTAGTTCCCAAAACTTTGTTGTCCGGTCTCAGAACTTTTCCCATGCAGAGGGATCAGTATATACGTCACCTGTCTTGTAGTTTTTCTTGGTTTACTTCTTTATATCTGTATCCAAGATCTTCAGGAGGTCTTCCCCAATCAAACCTGATTGCTATTAATCTTGAAGGAATCTACAACCTTTTCTTTCCTGTGGAAACAAAAACATAACCTCTTTCCCATTGCAATACATTTTCTGAATTCCATTTTAAAGTGAAGGCATCCCCAAAGTATCTAGGCTGGTTTATTTCAGCAGTTCCTTTTACAATCCAGTATCTCTCAGCAGCTATCATTCACTCATCACCATTCAAAAAGTTCAAAGCCAACACAACACCATACAGAATCCAGACTCCCTGTGTATTTCCCATCTTTACATGGCTTTTTTCCTTTATATTACTTTACTTTCTCTTTTTAGACTTTACATTGTTTTTAAACTATTTTTTTCTATGACTGTCTATGCCCATTTTTCTTTTCTTTCTTAAGCCTATGCACATTTTTTTTAATACACTGTAACCTGTTTGGAGGTTTTTTCCCATCTGGACCTGTCTTTTCTGCCTCTCTCTAGCCTTTTCTGACTACATGAACCAAAACTTAAAATGCTAAGCTACAGCTGCATGGTTCAGCTGGCAACTGGCCTGGCCATAGCCAGCCTTAAGACTGAGGCCTTGGTCAGGAGCTGCATTTAACTTAAGTCCCTTAAAATGTTTAACTGGGAGCTGCATTCAATCACCCCAGCTCTGGGATGTTGGTGACCTCACTGTGGCAGGCATTTTTTACTTAGCTTGCTGTTTCTACTTAGCATATTAGTATGGCAGAGCCTCTTAAAGGAGCTGTATCCTTTTTTTTTTCCAGCTTTCTCGGGCCCTGTGAGGAAATTTGAGCCCCACATTGGAAGGCCAAATGTAACAGGCTTTCCTTTGGGCCACCAACCAGCTCCCAAATCATGAGATGAAGACTTATTATTAGTTATGAATACTTGGCCTTATCTTACGTTTGTCCTGCTAGCTCTTATAACTTAAATTAACCTGTTTCTCTTCATCTACATTTTGCCTCAGGGTTTTTTACATTTAATTCATTTTGTATGTCCTACTTTCACTGCTTGCTTTGTGTCTGTCTGTCTGATGGCTTGGCTGGCTGGGCCCTGGCATCTTCTCTCTTGTTCTCTCCTCTCTTCTTTCACACTGCTCCAACCAAAAAACCCATGATACACTCCTCCCTGCTACTTCCTGTCAACTAATTGCTAACCCCACCTCTCTGAGCCCAGGTTAATTTATTTTAATTAACGTGAATGCAACACATCTTTACATAGTTAAACAAATGCAGCATAAACAAATATAAGACATCTTTGCCTAGTTAAACAAATATTCCACAACAGACTTCTAGTCAGCACCTATGATGTCTGCAAACCAAATGGTTGTCCTTAGATTTATAAGTGGAATCCAGAGTGAGAGTGCAGCCAGAGACAGCCCTGTGACCCATTTACACCAGGCCTTGTAGATGACTGGCAATCAGCAGACCCTGGAAACAAAAATATTTTGTTCAGGTCTTAGACAGATTTTATGCACATATTTATTGCCCTCTTGGCAATTTCCGAATGCACTGTCAGTAGGAAAGTGTTTCTCAAATACTGAGACTAATCAAAAGCCTGTTCAAAACCCATTATTGAAAATACCTAACGTAAGCACATACATTAGTTTCTTATGGTTTTATATTCAACTTAACAAAAATTTATTGCACACAGGCTCCATGTAAGATACTATGTCAGGTGCTGTGGACTGCTTGACAGATAATGCACAGTTCCTCTCTATCACCAGTCCTTGACTCCCAATTCTCAGCAGTCATATTCAAGTTCAAGGTGAATATGAGAAGGAACTAACCCACATGGATGGCTTTACCACAAGAAAAAAAATCTCTATTTGAAATACCACAATGGAGACACAAACAGGAAGATGAGAAAGTGGAAGGATGTGTATAATTCTCCCTGAATGGTTTAATATAGGTCTAATTTTTCCTCTAATCTCATCCTCATAGCAACCAAATAGGATAGGTATTATTATTTTCATCCCCATGTTATGGGTAAGGAAACTGAGGTCCAGGGTAGCTGAGTAGACTACCCAATAATATTCAAGAAGGTATATCAAATCTATTTGGCTAGAGCACTTGGGCTCTTTGGGTGATACCAGCAACTCTTGCTAGAGGTGCATGTCAGTGTAAAACTTGTGCCTGAATCCCACCTCTGACCTACTGAATTAGTCTCTAGGGGTGAGTTCCAGACATGGGTTTGGAGAAGCTCTCACAGTGAGGCCATGATAAATCTTGACTTATGTCACTCTATGAAAGGCTGAGGGTGACATCAACAGATGAGGGTAGGGAAGAAGAAATCATTCCAAGGGGCAGAACCAGGTAGGCAAAAGTGCAAAGTCAGAGGACTCCCATGGGAAATGGTGAGTGTCCCCCAGAAAAGGAAAGACAGGCAGTCTTAAAACAAACCAGAGGAAACCCAGATCACCTTCCCAGTAAGGTATGATCAGCTTGTACCATAACTAAATGATGCCAGAGTCTGTTCATGGGGAGATGAAGGTCTACGTACTGGCTGGTGTTGTGTGTTAACGTCACATAAGCTAGAGTCATCAGAGAGGAAGGAGCCTCAGTTGAGGAAATTCCTCCTGGAGATCCAGCTGTAAGGCATGTTATCAATTAATGATCAATGGGGAAGGGTCCAGCCCATGGTGGGCAGTGCCATCCCTGGGCTGGTGGTCCTGGGTTCTATAAGAAAGCAGGCTGAGGAAGCAAGCCAGTAAGTAGTACCCTCTCCATAGCCTCTGTCTCAGCTCCTGCCTCCAGAATCCTACCCTATTTGAATTCCTGTCCTGACTTCTTTTAGTGATGAACAGCAATGTGGAAGTGTAAGCCAAATATACCCTTTCCTCCCCAACTTGCTTTTTGGTCAGGTGTTTCATCGCAGCAATAGAAACCCTAACTAAGACAGTCTGTATGACTCACTGCACTGAGCCCTTTGCATACATTAGCTCATTGATCCTTCCTGATAACAGTGAAACTTATATATTTATCTTCATTGTTCAAAAGAATAATGAGGTTTGGAGAATAACTGGCCCCAAGTCACATAGTCAATCAGTAACCTAACCATGATTTGACCTCCCATCTGTCTGGCTTCAATGCTGCCCTCTTACCTCTGGGATCAAATGTTTTCTGAGGATTTTCAGAAGGTGATCAGACAAGAGCAAGATGATGTTGAGCCATATGGTCAGCAAAAGATCAATAGACATTATTCCCAGATCAAGACTGAAAGTAGCTGTTTAGTCTTCGTCCACTCAAAAACAGAGCCTATGACAAGGTTTTAGGTGCATTTGATTTATTTGGGAGGTGATTTGAAGAAGTACTAGGAGAGAGTGGAGGGCTGAAACTGGGAAGGGAAAGAAAGAAGCTGGTGAAAGGTGTAGCTAACCCTCTGCAGATAGCTGTAAATCATTCTACTAGAGACACTGTAAGACTGAAACACTCAGTGGGCTATTATTGAACTTTGAGGTCAAAGTCCATGCCTCAAGTCAGGCTTGACCACCCATCCTCAATAAGTCAATTAAAAGAGCCAAATTAATAGTGAAAAATAGAAGAAGGAGAAAGATTCAAAGCAGCCACTTTGGGAAGAGTGACAGATCCAGTGACATCCCCCCCTCAAGTCTGTCTTCAGGGTCAAGTGTAATTAAAGTTTAAATAGCTGAACAAGGATATGCACATCTAAGCATTCTACTCACAGTGTGGTCCTGCCCACTACTGACCGAGCATTGTCTGGGCTTCAGTCTCATCCTGTAAGGTGGTCTGAGGGGTTGTTAAAACTAAATGGAATCTCTTTCCAGGAGACAAGGTCCCCCTCTGGCTGGTACCTTTACCTTCCCCCAGTGGGAGATTCTTGGGGAAATTTCCATTTCTTTGAGGTCCATTGTTTCAATAGTCTAATAGTCAGATTGAGAGGCAAGAGTATTTCGTTAGACTATCTTCATTTTTGCTGGCCTTTTACAGGGCTGCCTCAAACAGGAACAAGAAGACTGAGAGCTTCATTCTATTCCCACAGCATAAATCCCCACATCTACCCTGTCCTGCTTGAAAGCTAAACATAGACTGTGGAACCTGTTAAAGTAGAGAGCTAGTTGGAAGCCTTTAGTGCCCAAGAGCCCTGTCTATAGAGGGTCTCCAGAGCTGACTGACTGAGTACAGGATGTCAACCGCAGGACTAGGCTAAATATTTGGTGACTATAATAAAACATCTCTTGAGAACTTGGAAAGTAGGAAACTAAGATCTCCCCATATGAAATAAACTTAGAAACTTAACAGGAACTGAGCAGAGAGATAATAGAACAAGACAGCTGCCAGATCTGAAGATCAAGTCTGTAATCCGATCAGATGTATCAAGATCTCTAAGGAATCAGGTATGGAGTAGAAGTGGGTAGGCCAATTGCAGAAACACAGACCATGTTATCCCAGAAGCAGGAGTCAGTTTACCAGGCTAGTCCACAGAGAAGAGTCCATGGTCAGCAGAAGAGGAAGACTTCCAGTCCCAGTAACCAAGTGAGCCTTATTCTAAAATGGACACATCTCAGCCTGGAGTCCTTAGATATCATAAGACAATCTCTCCTAGTCTGAGATGAGATGTTCTTGCGTGAATCTGGTTCCAGAGACAACTCACATAATGAGGCTCATAGCTCAGGATGCTCATCTCAGATGATCTGAAATTGCCCAAGAGATAGCCCTGCTCAGCAAACTAAAACAGACATCTAAATCTACAGGGCCATAGTTCAAATTCCAAACAGAAGCATACTCCGGAGTGCTGGGGGTGGAGGTCCTCCTAGGTCCCAGCTCATCAGGCTTTCCCAGGTCACACAACTGATAACAACATCCCTACACTGTCTTTATATATGTGTCTATAGTAAGCAATGTAAAGAAGATTTAGGAGATGATGGCTGGAGACTAAGGCTTTGAGTCATTGCCGATCTCAAGTCTTGATCACCTGCCTTTGGCTAACCATTCTTGACTGTATGTGCACATGTGCATGCATCCATTTATCTGAACCTTTATGCATAGGAATGTCTGTAGGCATAGACATTAGTGTAGCTGCATATCTGCAGAGATATGAAC